TCAATGTGCCTTCACGACGACTTCCGGCAGTATTTATTTCAAAATAAATTGGGTTATTTCGAACAAAGTTTGCAACCTCATATACGAGTATATACATACACGGCAGAGTCAGAATTTTGCATGATGTTCACGTAGCAGTTCAACTATTTAGTTGAATTCATTTGCCTAACTTTTTGACCAAACCTTTTGATACGGTTGAAACAATATCCGCCGGACTATTTGACTTTAGTTCCGTTATCTGGCAAGTGCAGCGAATTGTCGTTGCACAATCACAAGATGGCGTCAACGACTGATAAATTTTAAATAATGCTTTTTGAAAACTAATTATATGGTTTTATTTACGATTGAGTTTAATTAAGTTCAAATCATGTAGTGGTAAGAATATCCACTACCCAAACCATATCGTCCCGTGGGTGTCGTTAGAGGCAACGGAGGAAACTGAAACAGGAGATGGGCAGCAGCATCTTCCATAACCACTTAAAATAATAAAAAACTGCGCTTGCCTGTCAAGGGTGGCAACTGTGGCAAAATTCCCCCTATAGGCCATTTATTAGGGACGCATATTATGTTCAGCTGTGCACTTTTGGATGTGGAATGCATAGATGGAAGTTTAAACTCACTCGCATAAACTAATAAAAATATTTTAACCAGATGTTCAAACATTAAGGTTAGAAGCCATTATGTTAAACGTAACATTAAGGTAAAATAAACGTAAAATTAAAGAGCAAACCACTGACGTGGTAGAGCCATGCTGCAGTTATAATAGTATAGTTGTAGCACGAATGGGTCGGCTCCACTGGGGAAGGAGCACCCTCTCACAGAATACCAGCGTAAAATACCAGATTAAAACGCTGTGTTTCGTATGGTGAGTGTAGAGAACCGGAGACCCTTTTTACTGGAAGAGGCATTCCATTATAATCCTCGCGGCTGACAACGCATCTGCATTTTGATTCGCAAACGAGGATAGATGTAAATGTCTATGGGCGAAAGCAACCACTTACCATCAAGTGGATTGTGTGCTCGTTTGTCACCCTATCCTATAAAAAAAACTGACGGATTGTTTTGTGTATAATATAACACTCTAAAACTGATTTTGAGTTTATCAACTTTTATTAAAAACCAACTTCTCAATTAAATTACATTGTGTAACAAAAAACTTTACCTCAGTGTCAACTAGCGACATCTGGTGAGCAGAAAATTATTAGCCCTCATTACCACGCTTGGAAAATGTTCGCAGTATCAGACACAGAGTACTTTTTATATAGGTATCAGATCGCTCGCACCTTTGACGCTTCACTTTGTTGTCAGTCTGGGTATCCTAAATGCCATATAAGGCCACTGAGTTCTTCTGACCTTTCTTATAATTGTATCTATGACACCACTGGGATGAAACGGTACTATCACCACTACTATTAAATTTCTTCATATGTTGTGTTTAGATTGTACATCACTATTATTTTTTTATTTCAAAATAGACACAAACTTTGGACTCAATGGAAAGGCGTCCTTAGACGCTTAATGTGACCCGAATCTGGTTAAAACCTATTTCACCAGTCCCGTACACAGGCGCAAAGTAGCCAGCCTTTCCATTTTTTACAAGATGCATTTTTGAGAGTGTGCAAAGGGATTGCATAACTTAATTCCTCCTTCTCCCTTCCATCATCGGACAACCAGAGACTCGGCCAATCTCCACCCTTTAGTTGTCGACTTACCACGCTTTCGAATCAAATAGGTTCGATTTGCGTTATCGTTCGTTATGCTTACTACAAAGGAGTGGAATAAGTAGCCAGCATCTGTATTTCCATCCGATTATAATGTGGGTGTCTTCAAGGCAAGATTGAATAGGTTTTTGTTAAGTCAGAGCGTTTCACCATATTCAGCTGCATCACCACTTACCATCAGGTGGGATAGTAATTAAGCGCTGACTTAGATTAGTAAAAAAAATGGCGCATTCTCGTTAATGCTTATAGCCTGCAGTGGATTCACAGTGGAAAAAGAAAAGTTTAATTATAGAAGCACAATATCTATTTTTGTTGTTCATATTATGATGACTTTTGACCACCCCAAATGCGTTAACTTCAGACATATCTAAATATCAATATGAGTAATGGGAAAAATGAATGTTATTTGTGCATTGCTATACTCCCCGCTTCTTGAAATTGATAAAACTTATTTGTATTCCACTTGTTCATCATAATTTTCCTAGTGATTCTTATTTGTTGATAACACATTTTTTACTGACTTTATCGCGTATATTATTTTAAACAGATATCTATCCTCGTGTGACGGATGAGTACATCTGTTTTCACATAAATACTAGTCCAGTATCAAATACAATACAATACAATACAATACTCTTTATTGTACACCAAGAAAAGATAAAAATATTATAAAGAAAAAAAATAAACAATTAGGTATTAAGGAAAATACAAAGGGCGGTCTTATTGCTACATAGCAATCTCTTCCAGACAACCCAGGTTTAACAAAAACACGGTTTAACAAAAACAAAAAACGGTTTAACAAAAAACTGTGTTCTGATACAATTGAGAAATTGTCACAACCGATACCCTCACACCGGTACCTTTCATCACCAGCATGGCGATTTGAATTTGACTCCTTCAAATGGATTTTTCTTCATCAGTTGATTGCCAGAGCCTCGTCCGTCAGTAAGCGGGATATTTCGCGTGCATGTTGTCATTCAGCATATTCACTACTTCACCCCAGTCTGATCTTTATAATTTAGAATATCTGTGTAATTTATAATATTAACATTTTTCATTGATAACAGCCCATCAAGAACCCACTGCTGAACATAGGCCTCCCCCATAGATTGCCTCACAAATAGGGGGAAAATGTCCTCCAGACCGAATTTCGGTCACGACGGCACGTCTATCGTGCGCAGATATGCGCAGGACTGGATTATAGTGCCCGAGTGTATGCACAAGTACAAGTACAGCGCACTCTCTATTCCCTCACTCTCACAGTCCACTGGGGCGGTAATCTGAAACAACCGGAGAGATATCAGGCGCAGGACCAACGGCTTTACGTGCTTTAAATTGTTTTTGCTAATTCTTGCCTAAGTTACTTCTTATAACCTCAGCTATCTGCTAGTGAAAGTCCCGTCAAAAACGGTCCAGCCGTTTCGGAGGCCGATTATTAGCCGGAACAAACAGACAGACAGACAGACAGATATTTTTAATTCTTTTTTGTTATAAATACCCTATATACGAGTACTTATATATGTATTTAGCAAAAAGCTGTTATTTTGACATTACAAACAGACATTTCAATTTTATTTATTTGTATAGATATGAATTTAATATACACTGAAGGAAGATTAATTATAATTGCGTTATTATTGGGTGTAAAATTAATGTGCTTTATTTATTGTGTATTTTGTGCCACATAAAAGCAAAGGATTTGACAAAAACATCTGCGTAAAAAATTGTACTAGCGTGAACGATTGTTACAAACGTGAGCTAGGATGATACGGAACGCTCGTTGTGCAATGATAGTATACACTCCGGTTTTTATATCTCCGTATCCTAAATTTCGTTTATTTCACGTGACATTAACTTCTTCGGGTTAAAGAAATTCACGCCTCATGATCCCCGAGGATTTAGTGTGGGTTAAGCTAGAAAATTGGCACGTTGCCAAACGTTAACAAGGTTACAATACCGGTAACTTTGGACATTAGCACCCAAACAAGTAAACGTATGTTGTAGTTAATTACTATACCTTCTATATGTTCAACCCCTTTTTAAGGCTAAACCAACAGATTTTGGCTACAAATAAAATGAAAACTTAAAACAGGAATTTACTTTTAAGCCTTTTTAGGATTGTGCTGTCATACAAGATATTGGCCATTGTTTCTTTTTAAACGAATTGCGAATATATACAAGTTTAATTTATTACTAAAACATTTTTATAACCGATACCAATTGTTTAAAAGTATTAATTGTATTTTAAACAAGATCTTACACAAAAACAGAGTTCTCAATATTGGTCTATAGGCAAGTAGTTATTTCAATTATTGAATTTTAAACTCAGTTTTTTTTATCATTATACCTATATCTTGAATATAATGTGCAATGTTGACAAATGTTAAAAATTGAAGATTTATTAATTTTACGTAATAAAGGTCTTATGACTTCATCCTTGAACACTCATAGTTTCGATGTAAAACGGCGTTGGAGCAAAAAAAATTGAATGTCTGTAGTGTAAAGACCATTTTTTGTGTAAAATTACAAAAACCAAAAAAAAATTGAAAAAAAATTACGAGACAATCATCAAAAACTATTCGTTTTAATAGTTTTTCGGTTTAACAAAAAACTCCTCCATGTTTTTCGCATAAAATATAAACTAGATATTTATCTGTACTTACCCGAACTACTAAAAAAGGTAAACAAAAATAGCTTTCAGTTGTGATTTTATCCTACAATGATAAGGTAACCGATGGGGAAAAAAGATTCTCGAGTGGCAGCCTCGTATCGGTAGGCGAAGTGTAGATCGTCCCCTTAAAAAAGTAGTGACGACCTGGTAAGACATGCAGGAAGTCGATGGATGCAGGTGGCTCAGTACCGTGCTTTGTAGCATTCCTTAGGGGAGGCCTATGTTCAGCAGTGGACTTGTGAAGGGCTGTGATGATGATGATATCCCACAATGATAAGCTATCTTCAGGCCATCAATGTTTTATTTACATATTTTGAATTTTTTTCATATTCACCAACCTCGCGTCGTATATGCTCCCTTATTACCTCCAATCTGTTGTACTTCGGGAACCAGAGCCACTTCCGTCCTCCAGCAGAGTGTACCCCGTAATATGATCATCATCATGACAGCCCTTTACTGAGTAGGAGGTACTTCCTGTATATCTTATCATGTCGTCACACCATCTCGTGGTGTACCTTACTTTACCATACTTATATTTAATTCAAACAACTAACGATGCATATCAGTCTGATGTTAATCAAAATAATAAACAGTTAACCTTTTTCCAGGATGCGGTGTCGCTAGGGGGCGGTATTATCGGCGCAATGCATGTACCGGAGAAGTGGTTTCCAGGTGCCGTGGATCGTTGCCTCAACTCGCATAACATAATGCACGTGCTCGTCGTGTTGGCCGTGTACTCCATGCACCAGGTGAACCTCGAATTAACGTAATACCTAAATGCTCCTAATTACCGATCTGTTCCTTCTTATTCAGGCCACAAAGCCCACAAAAGAAAGCCCGTAAGAAACATTGAAATTGGACAATGTGATAAAGAATTATCGCTGAACGTATATAAAAAAATCCAATTGAAAACCTCCTCCTTTTCTTGACGTCGGTTTAATAAGTATTCAACTGATTGAAAAGCCTATTTCACCGTATAAAACTCTCACAATCATCTGTTTGACTTCATTTCTACCACGTGAAGATGCGGGTTCTTCACGTGGTTCTGGTCATGTCAAAACAAACTAGGCAACGACCTTGCGGTCGTGACTTGTGACCAGCTGAACAATATTTTATACTAAATATCTATTATTTCACAGAAGTTATTTTCTCAACATCATCAACATTACAGCCCATAAAAGTTCACTGCAGAACAAAGTCCTCCCCCATGTATTGCTACGTAGGAAGTTATTGCCCATAGTTGCTACGCTTGGCAGGTTTGGAAACCGCAATACTTTATTACTATCAGGAAAATGCTGCAGTCATCTTCAGTTTAATTTCTTCTGTCGCCTTTCACGACACCCTCGGGGGTTATGGCAGGGTAAAATACACTACTACACTGTAGTAATGTATTTTTACCCTGTCATTACACGGTTTAGCTATTTTGTTATTGCTTAAATAGGTTTACAGTTAAGTGAAATAAAAAATAAAATTTTTGATAGATTTCTTTCTTATTTAAATCGTGGAACTCAGTCTTCTGGAGCACTTTTAATTACACTTTTTATTATACATCTTCCTTTTTACGTCAAAAATGTATGTAAAACAATGGCTGATGATACCTCACCAGTGTTCAATAGTGATAGAGATAAAAACTCATTTAATGATATAAATTGGCTCATCTTAAATATTACCCTGGTTATCAACAAATAACCTGCTTCTGAATGCAAACAAAACGAGATATACTTTCAATTTTCTTTATCAAATGTAAGCGAAGTTACTACTAATGTTAAGTAAAATAATCAAATACTTGAATTAGTAGATTCCTCGGCTTTCCTTGGTAAAATTATACAAGTATAATTGATTTTTATACTATGTTATATGGTATACTATGTTTATAATCTGGAATTTTAATAAAATTTGGAGATCTCATATTGAAGCCTTGTAATAGAGAGTTAGTTACTTAGAGTTAGTTAGTTCTGTATGCAGTTAAAATATACTTACCTTATATTGATACAACAAGATTGATTTAATTTAGCTATTTTTATAGTGTGTTGTCTTTTGGATTATTGCTGATGAGCAGCTGATATTGAAAATATATTTACAAGTATACTCGCTAATATTAAATTAGAAACAATTTTAATACATTTTATATAAAATACTAGCTGACCAGAGGCAGACGTTGTTCTGCCCTTTCCGACGACCATTTGCTTTCCTAAAAGAACTGCTGAGATTAGCAATAAAAAATTGAGAGTCACTTATCGGAATAAAAACTATCCTATCTCTCAAGTTCGTCCAAACTGCATATAGTGTACAAAATTTCATTGAAATCAGTTCAGTAGTTTAGGAGTTCATCGCGGACAAACAACGTGACACGTAATTTTTATATATAAAGATTTGTTCTCCATAACCTTAACTACACGTCATAAATTTAACTTCATAATATTAACGCCTCATTTTTGGGTATTTCTAACAAGATTCCTTATAATATTACTGTATATTACTGCAATATTACCGAGTTGCCTTTGCATAAATTCAAGGCGCTTGTAAAAAAATCTAACGAAAAAAGTTACTAAATTAGATGATTATTTAAATGATATGAGTGTTTGGATATAATGAGATTCCTAGATTTTATTTACATCTTAACTGTTGCTTCATAGTTCATTCTAGTTAAATAATAATATTTATATTAGCAACTTGTTTGATATCTTTGTTAAAATATGTGATCTCCATAACCTTAATTCACATAATAAATCTAAACTTGCTTTTCTAAATACAGTCACAGTCACTATAGATATATAATTATTTATAACAAGATTCCTTTCTAAGAGTTCCCTTCATATCATTTTTTAACTTCAAAAATTCATTCTAATGAAAAAAGTATATTATATATGATTATAATGCTAACTAATGATAAGCTTCCTAGATTTTATTGAATTGTGGATTCATATTTCATAAGGTTAAAAGTTGAAAGAAAAATAGTATGTTTGTGAGTTTCATACCACTTCTTCTCACAAGGTCTTCCACAGTAAGAAATAGTTAAAGCAATGGTGTAGCTCCCAATGAGTGTTTTGTAAAGGCCAATTTTGAATAAAACAAGACAAAAAGAGACTTTAAATTTGCTCATACATTTCGTCTCGTGGCTGTCATAAGAGGCAATTATGGGATATGCCAGAAAAAAATTACAGCTTCCGACAAACGCGGGGACAGGCGATCGTTTATCGGCTTAATTGGCGTCACGATTCTCTTTGCAACGGGAGAAGCTTATGTCCATCAGTGAACATTTACGAGCTGGTGAAGAACATGATGATGCCGTACGAATATAGTCATTTAGATTGTTATGTTGTCCAACAGTGGTGTAAAAATGCTTTCAACAACGATAACAACTTAACAACCATTATTAGAATTCGTATTGAAAAGTGAAAACTCCGTGGCTTCGAGCTATGGAGGCTATGATTAGGTATATCTGCGTGATTGTGTCCGTCACTCCACAGTAGAACCAGACTAGCCGACAAAGCCCAACGGATCAGTAAGTTGAAGTCGCATTGGACCGACCATATAGCTCGAAATATCAACCACCGATGGGATAGTAAGATTCTTGAGTGGCGACCAGCGGAATTTAGGGCAACCCCCACTAGATGGAGTAAAGACCTACTAAGACATGCAGTAAGACCGTGTTTTTTCGGCATTCCTTGGCCTAGGCCTCCCTATCTTTAACAGTTGACCTGAAAAAGACTATGATAATGATGATAGTGATAATGATGATATTACGTGTACACGATAATAACACTTATTACAATTATAATAAACACTAAATTTTATTAGCGGTTGATATACTTCACGCAGTGCTGATATCAAGTCATAAATAACTTGAGTAATTTGCAATTAATTCTGTTTATAAAATGATATCAAATGAATATTAATAAATTCTGAGACCGCAACACCACAGAATAAATAATAGTACTACGTAACAACATTACAAAAACAGCAGACTGTTATTATATAATATTATGTAACTAGCGCCTAATAATATGTAACTAGCGCCTAATAATATGTAACTCGCCTAGGTGGGATCTATTAATGTGACGTTATTTAGTTGTAAGATAATCAAAGACCATTTATTTTATCAATTTCTCCATTAATTAAAAAAAAACTCTAATGATTATTGATAAAAATACAGCCCACATCACTCATGGCATCGTTCTCTAATATATTGCATACCTTAAGCGAAAGCGCAAGGTATGTTCTACTATCGCCTAAAAATTAAGATTCCAACGTTTTATCGAATAAAATCGTATCTAGCAATCATATATTACATATAAATGATATAAAAAGCACATTGTTAGAAAGATGATTGTTCAACTTATTAATATTTTTTTTAAATCGATTAATTGCTATTTTTAAATAAAAAAGGGGTTTTAGTGGCTTATGGTGTGGATTTATCATGCCCCCCAAGGCTTTAAACACAATAACTTTTGAAAATATCAATTGTTTAACTCAATCTATTTTTTAATCTCTTCATCTATCATGTGGGAAGCCACTGAATGTAAATGGCAGTGTAATTTTGTTTTGTTTAGCTATAATTAATTTTTTTCGGCTCCAAAATGGCGAAATGTTCGTTGATCTGGTAGCCTTGTATGTAAATTATTTCTGTAAATGGGGAGCTACAGCCACAGAGTAGTTTACTTACACTCAGTTCGGCGCAGTTCTCCGCTAGAAGTAAAGTATTCTGTGGTTCGGCGTCAATCGCCATCGTGAGTGGACATTGTTTCGGTTGTTTGCAGCGCCTCAAAAAGATCGCTGTACAAATACACAATATTCGAATAACCAAATTTCTTAAATACTTGATTATAATAATAATAAGAGATTATTTTATTACAATATTTTAAAAGCACAGAATAAATAATAGTAGTATGTACCAAAAGTAAGTAGTATCAATTTTTTTGTCATGGGTGAAATTTTCATGGTTTTCGAGGGTGTTGAAACCGATAGGGTGTCGAAATGTAAATCCAAGATGGCGGCTGCAATAGATATCAATTTTTTCATCTTGGGTGTCGTTTTCATGGTTTTCGAGGGTGTTGAAGCCGATAGGGTTGTCGAAATGTAAATCCAAGATGGCGGCTGCAATAGATATCAATTTTTTCATCTTGGGTGTCGTTTTCATGGTTTTCGAGGGTGTTGAAGCCGATAGTGCTGTCGAAATGTAAATCCAAGATGGCGGCTGCAATAGATATCAATTTTTTCATCTTGGGTGTCATTTTCATGGTTTTTGAGGGTGTTGAAGCCGATAGTGCTGTCGAAATGTAAATCCAAGATGGCGGCTGCAATAGGTATCAATTTTTTCATCATGGGTGTCATTTTCATGGTTTTCGAGGGTGTTGAAGTCGATAGTGCTGTCGAAATGTATTTAAACTACTTTAAAAAATGTTATAAGGAATTTTTTTAATGCGCTTAAGGTATGCCCAATTGGATTTACCAATATATCTATTTATATATATAATTTTTAAATTGGTATAACTTAATTACAAACAACCCCCTCAATTCAGTAAAAGGCAGTTATTTAGATATTACAGACAGACATTTCAAACTTATTTATATGTATAGACATATCTACATCATCTAACAGAAAACTTACACTAGTTAATTTTAAACTTTAAAATTAACTTCATTAAGTAAGTAAAAATTAATAATTGCTGCCATAAAAGACAAAATAAAAAATTGGTACCATTTGAATAAATAACTTAGCAACCCAGTTACCACTTACAACTCGCGCCACCATTATATTCAAATATATAAACAAATGTATGTGTGTAGTTTGAACAATTGTTACATCTCCACTACTCGATAAATGATATCCACTACCCCGTATCATCCAATAGGTGTCGTAACTGTCGCCTCAGTGGGAAATTGAAACGGGAAATAGAGAGCAGCATCTTCCTGATAGCAAACAAACTCCCAATGAGGCAATCTGCGGGGACCTCTATGTTCAGCAGTTGTCTTTTGATATGCTGTAATCAATGATGAATGAATGAATTTTAAACACGCTAATGTTACAAAAAAAATCAAGACGCTTTGTCTGATACTAAATATAAATTTATGCTCAATGTCCCCGTAAATAAAAAATAAAGAGAGTAGGTACTTCTATATGTTTTGTCACCAAACTTAGGTAGGTATGTCTGTAGCCGAACCACATGGGTAAAGACACCAACGTTCTATACTCATGTTTTTTTTTATAGGAGAGGGGGCAAACGAGCTAGCGGCTCACCTGATGTTAAGTGACTACGTTGCGTTGCCGGCCTTTTAAAAAGGAGTAGGCTCTTTTCTTGAAGGTCCCTAAGTCGTATCGGTCCGGAAAAATCGCTGGTGGTAAACTATTCCACAAGGAAGTTGTGCGAGGAAGAAAACATCATCTAAATAGCACAGTGGTGGACCGCCAATCATCCAGATGGTGTGGATGGTATCGGGAGTTCTGCCGCGATTTGCGTTCGTGAAATTTGGCGGCTGGGATTAATCCGAACAATTCCTCAGAGCACTCCCCGTGGTAAATGCGAAAGAAAATGCAAAGAGATGCAACATCTCTTCGCAGCGCCAATGAGTTGAGCCGATCGGAAAGGACTCGGTCGTCGACGATTTGAGCCGCTCTGCGCTGGATGCGGTCAAGTGGAAGGAGCTGGCACTGGGGAGCCCCAGCCCAGAGATGGAAACAATATTCCATGTGAGGCCGAACCTGCGCCTTGTAAAGTTGCAGGCGTTGACCCGGCATGAAATATTGTCCCGCTCTTCTGAGCACGCCAAGCTTTTTAGAGGCCAATTTGGTCTTCTCTTCCAAGTGACCACGAAACTGCACGTCACTGGATATGTCGACGCCGAGGATTCCGATACTGGCTGAGGCAACAAGGGGAGTACCTTGAAACTGAGGAGATACGACAAAGGGGTTCTTTTTAGTGGTAAACGCGCAAACTTGTGACTTCTGAGGATTAAACTGGACTAGATTTAGTCGCCCCCAATCCGAGACTTAGTCCAGCAAAGACTCGACTTCAGACACAAGTTTCTTCCGGTACTCGGTGACGTTTTCCCAAGAAATATTGGCACGGCCGGTGTATAGAGCATCACCAGTGCTGTCATCCGCATAGCAATGAATGCTACCGGCTTGCAACATATTATTGATATGCAGAAGAAACAGCGTTGGTGATAGCACGCAGCCTTGTGGAACACCAGCGTTAATAGACTTGTAGTCAGAGCATGCACCGTCTACAACGACCTTGATGTTCCGATCTGCAAAAAAGCTGGTGATCCAATTGCATAATTTCTCGGGAAGTCCATAGGAAGGGAGCTTCGAAAGAAGCGCTTTGTGCCAAACCCGATCGAAGGCCTTCGCAATGTCCAAACTAACGGCCAATGCCTCCCCCTTGGACTCTACTGCCTCCGCCCATCTATGAGTTAAGTAGACCAGAAGATCACCAGCTGATCGACCCCGACGAAAACCGTACTGGCGGTCACTAATCAGCTGGTGATCCTCAAGGTACCGCATGAGGTGGCAGTTTATAACGGATTCCATTATTTTGGAGAACAACGGGGTGATGGCGATAGGCCTGTAGTTGGAGGGGTCTGAGCGGTTGCCCTTTTTAGGGATCGGGTGAACAATCGGTCTTCCATAATTTCCGGACTACGCCTAGGGAGTAGGAGTACCGGAAAAGACGCGTTAGAACCGGTGCCAACTCCGGAGCACACGTCCTCAGCACAATTGGGGGGATTCCGTCAGGCCCACTCGAGTTGTGGATGTCAAGGGAGAGGAGTGCTCTGCGAACCAAGCGCTGTGAGAACCGCACATCCGGCATGGAGCACTCACACCGCGGGATGGTTGGCGGTGTGTTCCCCCCGTCATCAACAGTCGAATTGGACGCAAAAAGGGAGCCTAAAAGGTCGGCTTTCTCTTTTGCGTCGTGGACCAGTGAGTCATCCTCCCTGTGCAGAGATGGTAGTGATGGCTTACAGAAATTTCCTTGAACAGCCTTGGCGAGAGACCAGAATGCACGGGTTCCCGAAGGAAGGCGAACTAGTTTCTCGCCAATTCTGCCCATGTGCTCTGACTTTGCCTTGGCAATAACTCTTTTGAAGGACCTGGAGGCGAAGTTATACTTCATTTTAAGTATGCTGGTATTTACATCCCGAGTCGCCGAAGCCGCAGCCCAGGCTTGATAACACTCCTGCTTTCTGCGTAATGCAGGTAAGAACAGGGTCGCTCCTGTTCTTACTCCTGTAAGAACAGGAACGACCAAACCAAGGCTGAGATCTGTCTCCGATGGGTACCACAGATGATGGAATAAATAGTTCCATTCCCTGTAGTACCACATCAGTGACAGAGTCAGCAACAGCGCTGGGATCATCCGGCGAGAAGCAAACCCGCCCCCATGGGTAGGAAACAAAGAAAGACCGTATTCCGTCCCAATCCGCCGACCTGTAATGCCAAACACGGCGGCAACCTGCAGAACGCAACCGCGAGGAGAGCGTGAGTAGCACCACACTCCGGATCAGACAATGGTCCGAAGAGCCAAGAGGGGCATCGACGGAAACTTGATATCCATCCGGATGAGAGGTCAGCAGAAGGTCCAACAGGGAAGTTGTATGATCCTCAACATCTGGAATCCGCGTAGGCGATGTCACCAGTTGTGTCAGACCATATGCCAAGGCAAAGTCATAAACAGATCTCCCCGCATGATCGGTTAAACGTGAACCGAGCCATTCGGCGTGGTGGGCGTTAAAATCGCCAAGGATCACGATCTCTGCGGATGGGACCTGTATGGAATCTGTAGCCATTCGGTCTGTTTCGGCATTACCGCTATGGGACCTGTAGAGGCACACGTAGACGCGGGGATGGTCGTCGCTGTCTACGCGTAGCCAAAGGATAGACAGGTCAGAACCTTTAAGACTGCCGAGGCGTAGAGAACAGATGTCCAATGCTCCAATTTGTACCCCGGGTAGGAGAGATACGAAATATCAGCCGGAGAGGACACCTGCATCTCGGTCAGAAAGAGCAAGGCCGGCTTCGCCGTCTCGAGATGGTTGTGGACGGCGTTTAGGTTCGAGAAATTCACGGATAGCGTGGCAGGGGTCGCCTTGGTATTTAATAATTTAATTATTATTAAAATAAGTAATTTTAAAAAGTTACTCATTTTAATAATAATTAAATTATTAAAAAGAACAAAATGGCATTTGTATGGAGTAACGCTGCCCGGAAATCCGTCATCGAATATGGCAAAAGTAGACTAAAGAAAATTTCAGAAAATTTTAATACCGTGCCATATTCTCTTACATAACCTTGAAACTTAATTCACAAAAAGACGGTCAAACGTATGCTAGACTTGCACAGCCGGGTAGGAGTCACTCCTATTAATTAAAATTGGATTGAGAGAGCTCAACGTCCGGTCCTGAAAGTTATGCTTAACAAGAAATCAGGTATCCAACAGTTAAATTATACAGAGATAGTAAAGTACCTACAGTTCGACAGCTATTTGTCTTATGTGTGGCTACATGTGCTCACAGAACAATATTAAGCTCACATAAATACAATGAGCTGAAGAAAAAACGTGTGTTTCAAATGCCATTACTAAGCGTTCGCACAGTTTTCGCAAAACGATTTAGTCCATTCATTGAAACACTCATATTTAACCAAGTAGCATGCGACATAAGAGATTGCTCAACGAACACAGCTAGAATGAAAATACGAAGTTGGTTGCTTACGCTTAGTTATGAACAAACAGAGAAGCTGCCCCAAACATTGTCATAGTAGTTATATGCCCAATAATGATATTTGATTGATATTGATATTGTTATTATAGTAGTAATTCAAAATACTGTAATATTAACAAATTATATAATATGTATGTGTGTATCTATGTATATCGACGGATATATATATATATATATATATATATATATATATATATATATATATATATTTGTTGCTCAGTTTGCCCCGAGCAGTTATTGTGTTGAGCGGAATTTTGCCCCCCCCCCTCCCCCCAGCTGCCCCAATACGCGGGGCAGCCTGAGCACCCACGCTCAGGAGTGGAATAGCATGGTCGTGGATGCTCAGCGAGGGATTCTCCAGGGGTACTGATACCCTCCTGGGGTAGTTTATGATGTAATTCCGCTACTATGTTGATGGGGGGGTGGGGAATTGGGCCTCCGGTCACCTGTACTCACCAGACGAAACGCGGAAGCAGAGCTTCCACTTCACGCCGGTATAGACGAACGTAGCTTTAATAAGCAATATTTTACAAACATTTTTTTTATATTACAGGTGACAACCTTGGACTTGGCATGGATGTCTCAAGTGGATTGTTGCACCCCACTGGGTCAACTCTGACGTCGACCACCGTCCTCCCTACAGCTGCCTACAACCTAACTCTTCTACACACGCTAACCATCATTTAGACTCATTCTATAAACTTTATACAGTTTACGCGACTCCATTACATTTCAAAACATAACATTGGTGAAAACTTCTTGATTTGTTAAAAAAATATTTATATATTTAATCTCTTCACATAGGGAATACGAATCCGCGTCAATTTTAAATATACTACCGTCATTCACAGGCGTATCAGTGGCTTAGCAAGGGGGAGGGCAAGCTGGCAATGTCTGCAGGCGGCTGATTTAAAAGGGCGGTATTTTGGGAAAGGAAGTTCTTAATCTTAAAAAAATATAATTACATTTATAAATACATACATAGTACGTTATGCCGGGGGGCGTCTATTAATTACGTGATGCGATTTTGGCGATTTTTCTACCCTCCCCCTCCCCCTGGTGAGATATGGTAAGATATGGCTTGACCTCATCTCATCTCCCCTCCCCCAAATCTCATGTGAGATTTTCCATACGTTAACCAGAGCTTAATTCAACGCAATTAAGCTCTGGTTAACGTATTTACAGGTTTATGAAAAAAAAAAACAATTTGCTTAATTATTTTTATATAATTTGTGGAGTTGGCGTAATCGCGATAAATTCTAGTGTGTAGGATTTAGCCATAAGTATTGTACTTAATATGACCCAATTTTCTCGAAGTTTTACATTGTTTCTTGAAGGAAAAAAATTATTGCCGAGACCCTCTCTCCCCCACGTGAGATTGGGTGAAATTTGGCTCGACCCCCTCCCCCCCTCTTAAACACTTACGTAATTAATGGACGTCCCCTAACCCCCAAGGGGTAAACAGACTCAGGATAACGATTAACAGCTACAGTCCAAAGAGCAAAATACCATTAGCCGCCTTTTCGACATGCTGAGCACGTCATACAATGAGAACATTCTAATTCCCATTATATAAACATGGAACCTATAACTCTCAGACTAACCTGAGACGAGACAAAACTCAAAGTGAAGTAAAATATATTTACAGCATTAAAAGTTTCGAAAATAAAAATAAATGCACACACATGCAAATAATATAGACTTTTACCGATTTAATATTTTTAACAAACTTGCGAAAATATTTTCTAACTCTAGCGGATCCGGCCAGCCTTTTTTTTAAACACCCATGTTACGCCACTGAGGGTTACTGTTAAATAATTTATAAAAATATATCTGTTGACATTGGCATTTACACTGGCATTTAACAACCAAGAAAGTAATTAGGTATTCATTCCTTTATCAACAACACAACTGCGTTGTGTTATTTAAATTTTATGATAAGCCACTAATAGCAAAGTACTTGAGGAATCCATAATTATGTGGACCGGATAACCTACATAATATTTATGTATGTCAGTACGATGGCTTAATCAACTGGTTAATAAACAGCATTTGTTTAACCGCCAGCATGCAATTTAATAACTATTAGCGAGTAACTGAAGAAAAACTAAATTTAAGCAACTTGGGTCTCTTGATTTAGTTGTATCGAAAGGGCTGACTCTAAAGTCATAGCATAAAAATATAACATAAAAATATAGCGTAAAAATATAGCATTAAACCTTTTGGTTGACCTAAGTCATAGATTACCTCCTAATAATCTATGACCTAAGTATACTCGTCGTTGTAATGCGACAAAAGAATAGGCATTTAGTTAAATATTGGCGTTAACCGGTTGATTAAACCTTTGTGCTGCGATAAATTATCCTTTCCTTAGAAGTAAAAATACATTAGTGGGAGTCGTCTCGCAGCTTCTTACTCCATAGGTACTTCTACGATCCCTTCTATATGTCATCGATAAAAACAAAGAGATAAGAAAAATTCTTTATTTCTGTAGACAAAAATGAATCCTCTTAGCGAATCAATTAGATACAATTTCTAATGGATCTGTGCAAACAAATTCTATAGGTACCGTGATATAGATTATTTAAAATAATTTTTACGATGATATTTTAGGGATATAGGAACAACAACTTTCTACAGTATGTAGTTGAAAACATAAATAATTGTTAAACGACAATATCACGGCCTATGAACAAGACATATAACGTGTTAATGCTTTTAATAATTTTATGTGAGGGACGATTACACTTTAATTTTATATCTATTAATACATTGTTAATTGAAGTAGTCGTTAGGATATTTACAGCTATTAATAAATTATATTAGAGGTAAGATTGAAAGTACAATTAAATTTGAATGATTTAATAGAAAAAACATTGTGAATTCTAAGTTTTAGATAAATTTCTAGTAAAATGTTTTCCAATATATGTTAACTGTTATTCCTTAGATTAAATTGTAAATTATTAGTAGTAGAATAAACACGATTTAGAATATTACGGACTTCGAAAGCATAATGTGAAATAAATACGTAGTGTATTATTTATAAGAAAGAAATCCTTAAAAAAATTCTAAATAATTTTAATATTAGACAATTAAACATTCTGTTTAATCACCATTCAACCATTTCGATATGCTTGCCATAACATTACAAAAGTATTAGAGATAAATTTCATAACATTTAAAACATATAACATAATATATTATGCATGAACAAAATTTCTCCTTACTCTATCTTCATAATCGCTTATATTTTAATCACTAGAGCTTATTCGTAACCAGAGAAAAAGGTAATACGGTCAGGTTAAAACTTGCGAAGACTTTGCTGTTTCTGTTATGGGATTAAGATACTCGTATAAAATTCACCCCAGAATTTTTTCTTTCTCCTGAAACCTAATCCTATGACATTTCCTAAATTAAATATCTATATCTATATTTTTAATAATTCTATAAAATTTGTATTTAAATAACTTTATTTAAAAATTCAGTGAAATGGTGATGTAAAAACCTCTTGTCTAACAGCACAAACATCGCCGGAATACATATGTATAGGAGTCAAATACTATTTTATAATCCTATATAATATATACTATATAGGATTATAGTATTAATCCTATATAATATGTACTATATAGGATTATAGTATTAATCCTATATAATATATACATATTATATAGGAGTCAAATTTTGTGAGCTCCTAACTACTCAAAAGTATACTCGTACCAGACCGCACATGGAACTTCGTGATGTGTGATGTGATCAGAACTTTAAAGATATAATTATCACTTAAAGTTTATTATCATTTATCAGTTAAAGTTCAGTTTCAGTTAAAGGTATCAAGAAAATTTAATCTACCTATATGATTAACAAAAACTGTTTTTTTTTTCATTAATTAATTATTCTTTATTGTAAACAACTTAATAAAAGGATTTATTATATTATTTTGGATATACTATTTTATAATTAAAACACTGTGTTCTTAAAAAGAGCAATTTTTCTTACAGACTATATTAAATAACGTGATACATAGTAATTAAATTTAAAGCAAGAAAATATATATACGAAGACAAGATTAGATATTTGTTTCAGTTTGAAACATTATTCAAAATTCCATAAGATATGTTCTTTAATCCGAAATATATTTATTTCGAATGGAAAATAGTTTTTCGTTCCAGGTCTCGATATGTTTAGGTATTTGAAATATAAAAATAATGAGGATAATTATAACTATAGGTAACATATAATTGAATCTGTAGAAGGAAAAAGTTGTGTAATACTAATATTCCTTGGGAAAACAACAAGTCCAGTCTAGTATAAAATACATCTGATGCCAAATTAGCAACTTTTAAATTTTTTTTTGTCTGTGTATTTAGATAACCCATGTCTATAACGAAAGATTAAGTGCACTGTGGAATAATATTTTTGGGATTATTTGTGGCATCGTTTGGAGGTTAATCACGGATTAAAATTAGATTTTTTTTATGTATATTTTTATTTAGCTTATTTATATTTTCATAATGTGATTAATAATAATAATAATAATAGTCATTTATTTCAGGCTTTTTTACACCCGTTACAAATATCAATAAATAGCCGTAAAAAGTCTTCTTTTTAGTTTCCACCCTACGGAAGTACAGATTCTTGGCCATAAACAATTGGTTGAGTGAAAGCTTTACTTACACAATAAGTATTCCATACCAAGAATATAAATATTAGGTATATTAATCATATTAATAAACTTATTTTGAATTTTATTACTTTATAATGAATTTTATTTAAGTAATATCAATAAGAATCCTGAATAGCACTTGACTAAAATTTTATAGTATTTGCGTACCGAGTTTGATTTCTGCTAGTACCAATGAAATTGTTAGTTGCGGCAAAGAATAAATTTGCGGTCGCAAATTTTTCACGTGCTCAGTGATGATGGTAAACTTCGTAAGGAAACCTGCAAGTCTGAGAATCTAAAAAATAAATAAATATTTAAATAGGATTACATAATGGTAGATATCAAATATCGCCAGGAAAAATTATTGTATATATATATGTAAATTAAAGAAAAACAAAAAAAATCCTATATCAAAACAAAAAGATTAAAAAGTAAGCAATAAATTCTAATAATTTTTAATTTTTAAATTTTATCTTCATATACATTACCTGAACCATATACCTTAGTATACATAAACTTTTCAGATGTTTATCGGGCGAAAAATGTGAATGATGCTTCAAAGATCTTTTATTTGAGACGCCACACGATTCATATCATATAATTTAAATTTAACTAATCTAATTTTAATTCTTTACGATTTTATAGTATTTGGGTGAAAATTCCTTGAAACACAACGTCTAGTACAGAAAGATCGACCACCGCGGTCATTTTATAAGTGCTTCGTTTTGCTAATTATATTTAATGCATCACAAAATTATACGGGCTCTCTTAGACCGGAACAGCAGTGCAAGGCCATTTAGCGGCAGAAATAAGTAAGGACAGGAAAGGGGCCACCTACCACCTAGCGAATACTAAAACTAAGGCTCATTTTCTCAACGTGTAACTACTTATAATGTATGTGAGTATGTACTCCATACTACATTCGCGTTGAAATAAACATGACATTACATTTT